AAAATGTAAGCAGCATGTTATCAATTAGAAATTGTTGTCATAGGATTCTTTCAAATCTAAATAGATTGAAGAGATGAGACAAATTTTATAAGTTGCTAGGAAAAGCTGAAAAGTGCAGTCGTTTACTGCACATGCTAGAAAATCTTGTTTTAGCACAAGAGGTTGTCACAGTGCTCATAAATACAGGTTCTCTGTCCATGTGAAGAACATTAATTGCTTCCAGTGACCCTTCAGGACACTTCCCTCCTATCTGCAGTAAGACATTAGAGTATTAGTTCCCTGGTCACATAACCTAGGCCTTTACAGTGCCAAGCTCCTTGGGACAATCAGAACTCTGAGTCATGGGCTGTTGGTTGCCAAATCAGTACCCCAGAATGCATATTTCATATTTAATCCAAGAAGTTCCATACTCATTTAATAGATTAAATGGTACTGCAAGTCACTGTGCGATGGATAACTGATTTTGTGCCGAAGTAGGTGGCTTAATCAGTATTTGTGTCTGAATTTCTGTGAATCTGCATCTTTGACTTGTTGAACCTTCCAGTTTCCTGAGGTTCTTTTCCCAAAACTGAGTTCAGTCACCCCCTGATCTGAAGGAAAAGACTGGACCCATATTCCCCCACGAAGAAGAAATTTGCAGGAAAGTGCTAGTAGCTCAGAGCACACCATGCAATTAGTCTTGCAGAATTCAGCATCAGTCTTCCCTGAAAGGGGAAAGGAACAAGGGGGCTACTGATTTTTGTTTTTCAGAGGGGAAAAATTTCAAGCTCCAAAGCAGGAAAGCAGCATAACAAGGAGCTGTTTCCAGGCATTCACCTGTGCTGCTCCATGGTAGATGGTCCTCCTCAGCTGTGATTTCCATGGGCCAGATCTCTGTGTGTGCTCTGAAGCAGCTTCTGGGCTCCACTGGAGCACATCTCTAGGCTCTTCTGGGGCACAGAGACCTGTGCAAAGGAGGCTGTAGTGCTGAAAGGTCATCTGGCCTCAGCTACAGATACACTTTTATTTTGTAACTTTAAATTGATACTGTCTTTTTCCTTTTTCTTTTCTTTTTTTGAATAAATTTTGGCTGACCTGCCATTTTTTCACAGTGCATTTATAATCTGACAGCTATTTAAGATACCATGTAAGAAATAAGTCAATGAAAGGGATGTTTTCGATAGTTAATCTATTTTTACTAATTTTGCACCTGAAGGTAGATAACACAGATGCAGAAGGAAGACTGCTGCTAGCTGATGCTCTCTGTTATGCCCACAGTTTTAATGCAAGGGCTATTCTGAATGCTGCAACACTAACAGGTAAGCAGTCTTCCTCCCCTGCTCATTTTGTAAGTCAGTTCTTTGTTACTGTTATTAATTGGGCTGTGGATTAGTTAACAGCGTGTAGATAAAGTCAACCTAAATTCAAAAGCAACTGAGATGATTTTACCTGTTTTAGAACAGCAACTAGCACAGCTTATGCTCTAACAACTTGTACAGTGTCTCCAGGACTGGGGGGAGTATTGGCATGTAGCAACACAGATGGACTTGGGCTGGCCCAGCTGAGCTGGAATTGAGCAGGAAAACCTATGCAGACTTGGATGTTTCTGCACAATGTTTCCCAGTGCTTCCATTTCTGAGTTAAGCCTTCCCAGCTTCTGGGACCATGTGAGGCAGAGATACTGGTGTAGTATCCATATGGCACTGGCCATACTGGAGTCAAAATAGCTTCTTTGTGAAGGGCTTCCTGAGTGCTTGAGCTCTGACCTAGCCTGCACCAGCTCTTCCATCATGTGAGCTAGCTCAGGTCTCCATGATTCTAGATAATAAAATAGTTATTATCATGCTCCTAAGAATTTGTTTGACTGAAGTATCTCTTATTTTATGTGTCATTTGCACACTTTCAGGCATAATAACATGTTCTTTAATTGTTTCATCTCTACAGCTGTATATGAATGAGGTTATAATTCAAATTTAAAACCATCATTGTATATGTATCTCATGAACTACCCAGGAGCAGCTGTAGCTGAAATAAGAGCAAATATGGAAGAGGAGTTCAGACAGGAGTCTACTGTATTGCTTAATGAATACACTAAGCAAAATCATTATTTTTCTATATATTCTCTCCTAGTGCTTTAAATGATGTTCCATCCACTTATTCAGTTCATATTCTGTGGAAAATTTAACTAGACAGAAGGGAAGATGATTTTAAGATCATTTGCTTATATAAAAGTATTATCATATAAAGGGCATGATAGAAGTTTACTCCCACTATAGATTATTCTGTATTTGAAATCCTTGGGCACCAAGCACAAGGAGAAGAGCTCCTCTAGAAATTTCTCTGACGTACCGTGTTGTTAAACTACATTTTTTCTTCTTTTTTATTTAATCTTGCTGAGAATTGAGTGTTGGCATTACAGAAACAGTTCTGCGGCATCAAATAAATACGTGTGTAATCCCTCTGGTGTAGGCATGGGTTAGTATCTATGCAAGTGAAATTCACAAAAGGAAAGTATCAGCTCGGAAATTTTAGAGGTCTCTAAATTGCAAAATGTTCACTCCCTTGTATTTTCACAATAAACTTTTAGAAATGCAGGTATACTAAAATCTTTAGTTCTTGCAGAGTTCAGAATTAAAACTGGAAAATTCTGTGAGGAGTCAGGATGCAGAGGAATAGCTCAGGTCCACTTTCTGCCTTTGTTGTATAACCATGAAGGTGTGTTTCTGTAGGTGCCATGGACATTGCACTGGGGTCAGCTGCAACTGGAGTGTTCACAAACTCATCTTGGCTTTGGAATCACCTTTATGAGGTAGGTAAGCTGCACTGTTAAATCGTAGTAATTCAGTAATAGCTGTTACTGAAAAGTTAATGCATTACTGAAAGTCTTATTTTATGTGAATCTAAAAGATATATTATTACATTTTGAAATCTGGTAGGAATGGTGTTAGTACTATACCAAAATTGAAAATAATTTTTACTATGAATTACTAGATCCTTTTTGAGGTTTTATATCATACAGCAAACAGCATGCACATCATCTTGAGGATTTGCATGTTCGGACAACTTAACTGCATATGCATAAGCTCTGGCTTACTGAAAGGAATTGATAGAAGTGGTAAATGCTCCATTCCTGGTGGTGTTCAAGGCCAGGTTGAACAGGGCCTTGGGTGACATGGTATAGTGTGAGGTGTCTCTGCTCACGGCAGGGGGGTTGGAACTAGATGATCTTAAGGACCTTTCCACCCCAAACCATTCTCTGATTCATTCATGTTAAAAAGAGAACTGATCGTGCTTAACAACACTGAGACCAAAATTCAGAGGGGCCTCGTGAGTGACAGAAATGTGATGGCTAAAGGAAGCCTCTGAAGGGCAGATGGGGCGGGGGGGGGGGGGGATGGAAAAACACCCAACCGCAAACCCCAGTCTTTAGATTTTTGGCTTTTGACTAACACTAAAGTACCCCAAAAAAGTAGGATTTGCTACTTTTGAAATACACTGTTTCATTTTGCAATATTTTCCCAAAACACTAATACTATATTGGGCTAAAGATTTTTGATTTTTTTGGACTAATCAAAGCTAAACAAAAATAAGGACACATGATACTGGGGCTTATCAATGCGGTTCAAAAAAATAAAAGAAAAATTTGCGTAAGCTGTCAGTGTCTCTGTTTCAGGCCAGCGTCGTGACAGGAGACAGAGTTTGGAGAATGCCTCTTTTTCAACACTACACAAAACAAGTAACAGACTCTCCTCTTGCAGATTTGAGTAACGTTGGCAAGTACAGCAGGTGAGTTGTATCAGTATCCTTCATGTGCCCCTTCCCTTCAGTGAAGTCCTTTCATGTTCGTGCTGTTGGTGTTGCGTTAGAAACAACACGGTTTCGTTGCTTCCTACAGAGCTGGAGGAGCATGCACAGCTGCTGCATTCCTGAAGGAATTCGTGACTGCCTCCCACTGGGCTCATCTAGACATAGCTGGTGTGATGTCAAATAAAGATGAGGTGCCCTACCTTCGAAAGGGCATGGCAGGGCGGCCTACAAGAACGCTGGTGGAGTTTGCAGCTCGACTGAGCCAAGATAGTCACAATACCACATAAAATACTTATTCTAAATCATCCACTCTGCCATAAGAAAAATATCTGGAAAAGTATTTTTCAGAAACGAATAGCCCAAGAATATTTTCACTACGGCAACAAACTACAAATGCATTTTATAAACCATTACTTGAGTAAGAATATCTCACCTTTGAGATTTGTTATCTCCTATTATGCAGCTTAAAATATAGTTTGAACTATTGAGATATTTGGTATCAAAACACAATGATGGATAGCATCTGCCCTATTTTATATGTGACATAAAGCATAATTACTGCAAACAATAAATCTTTTACTTGGGTGTGTGTTTTGAGTGAGAGGATTAATGATGGTGATCGTAGCTGTGCCTCTGTCTGGGGTGAAACACAGGTGAAACTACAAAGGGGTTTATAAAAATGTTCTAGCATTTTAACTTTTAACTAAAACTGCTGTTGGTGTGTGTTGGGGTAGAAATGACGGGCTGTTGAAATTGGTGTGGCTAGCCTGGCTTCAGGGCTAAAGTGTGTAATGGGTCTTAAGCAAGTGCCAACACAAGTGTATATTGTAACTGTTTTACAAAAGCTAATGAGTGCAGGTTAATGTTTGGTGTTCATCCTCCATGATTTTTGTCATTCTGCTGCTTTCCTTCTACTGGTGTGAGCCTGGGAGGCTCCAAGCAGGGATGGTATTCCCAGAATCAGTTCAAACATCGAACTCTTAGCAATTGCCGCGTGAGGTGATGTGTTCTTGAGAATTTGGTGGTATTTGTTCCGAAACGCTGGTGTGCAATAGGTGCTGAAGGAGTGCTGACGGGGCTGGGATCCGGCAGAGGCTGGGGAAGCAGTGTCCAGCTGCGCAGCACGGCTGCGCTTTCCCTGCTGCCTCTCTTTGCCGTGTAACGCGCTCCGCGCTGAGGTACCGACTCTGGACGCTGAGGCGGCGCGGGTCCCGCCCGTTGCTGCCGCCCCTCTGCGCAGGCGTGGCTGCGCTGAGCCATGGCGGGGGCGCTGAGCGGCATGTTCGGTAACCAGCCTCCGGGGCCGCCGCCACCGCCGGGACCTCCCGGTGGGCCCGGCCCGGCAGGCCTCATCCCGCCTCCGACGGGGCCGCGCAATCCCAACAACACGCTGGTGGACGAGCTGGAAGCGTCCTTCGAGGTGTGTGGGCCGGGCTGGGGTTGGTCGCGGGTGGGCGCTGCTCTCCTACTTACTTCCGCGTTCCCTCCTTTCGCAGGCCTGCTTCGCCTCGCTGGTGAGCCAGGACTACGTGAACGGCACAGACCAGGAGGAGATCCGCACCGGTGAGGCCCCGGGGTTGTGGGTGTCCAGCGGCCGCGCCGCGCCGGGCCGGGCTTAGCCCTCGGAGGCTTTCGGGCGGTGCCGAGGTGCTGCGCTTGGCTGCTCGGAAACCATGGATACGCCACGGTTTTGTGCAGGGCTGGAATACCGAGGGGCACGGACTGGGGCTGACTCCTCCTAAAGGTTCTTACGAAGGTTTGCAGGTGCATTTGGGCTTTGCTGGGAGTGTGTGTGTGTGCCTTGTCGTTTGAGGCCGAAAGAGGTTTAAAACCTCGGTTGTTACTCTTTCTTTGAACAGCGACTGACATAATTTTGGGTTGCTCACACCTCGAATCCTGTGTTCAGTTCTGGGCCCCGCACGACAAGACAGACATTGAGGTGCTGGAGCAGGGCCAGGGAAGGGCAACAAAGCTGGTGAAGGATCTGGAGCACAAGTGTGATGAGGAACGGCTGAAGGACCGGGTTTTTTTCTGGAGACAAGGCGCCTCAGGGGGCACCTTTTCTCTTTCTACACAACTACCTGAAAGGAGTGAGATGGATGTTGGTCTCTTCTCTCAAGTAACAAGGCATAGAAGAAATGGCCTCAAGCTGGGCCATATTTGAGACCCTTTCATTCAGCCTGAAATGGTTTCTTTATTCAACCAAGTTTCACAAATATTTTATCACTCTTTGTCATTGTCAAAAATATACTAAAACTTGGAAAAAGTTGCTGTCTTTTTTTGAGAGTTCTGAATGCTTGCAAAGCAGTGTTTTATACAGAGATTTAATGCACATCCTGGGTTTAGAAATATGTCATTTTAGTAAATCTTCAGATTTTCTTTCTAGAAAATACTATGAAAAGTGGTTTTAATATTTTTTTGGGGGGGGGAATCTGCTCCATTTTGTTCCTTTATTTTAGGTGTTGATCAGTGCATCCAGAAATTTCTGGATGTTGCAAGACAAACTGAATGCTTCTTCCTACAAAAAAGACTGCAGCTATCAGTCCAGAAACCGGAGCAAGTCATTAAAGAGGTATGTTTAAATTGATTACCTGTGTTGTGCTAGATCAGGTAAGCTGTGCACCAGTACAGTGAGTCACCTTGTTCAGTTGAATTTTGGGTTTCTCAATGTGATGCTGTACCTTAAGTTGGTAGAACTAGACCATTAACATGGCTCTCACCATGAACCTGGAGAAGCTAGATGCATGCTGCACTGTGGGGTGTTGGAACATGGATGACAGTTTCATGGGAAGAAACAAACCAGTTGGTTAAATTTTGCTGGGAGTAATGATGTCTGAAACATATGACCAAGGGGAGCAGAACTAGTGCATGAACAGCACTTTCCCTCTGTTTCATTAGACACTTCTCATTGTTAGAATCCCTGTAAGATCAGCTTGAAAACTCAAGCAAAAAAAATTACATGTTCTGTGTGCGAGGTGGTTTTTCTTCTGAAGACCATCTATTTACTAACATGCATTTTTTCATTCCTAGGATGTTTCAGAATTAAGAAATGAATTGCAGAGGAAAGAAGCATTAATTCAGAAGCATTTGGGTAAACTGCGACACTGGCAGCAGGTCCTGGAAGATATTAGTGTACAGCACAAAAAGCCTGCAGAAATGCCTCAGGGTCCATTAGCTTACCTAGAACAAGCATCTGCCAACATTCCTGCTCCAATGAAGCAAACATAATCTTACATATCTGAGTATTTTCAACTGTGCAAAGCAGTGGTGGTGGTCTTGCTTTGTATGCTTTTTGTATAATGGAATTTGTACTAAAAATATAAAAAGTGAAATAAATTACCTTTTTTTTCCCCCCCAAAAAACGTGTGGATTGGTTTTCTATTTCAAAGGAAAATAGGCAGAGGTGCTATTCAGGATGCTATCTGGCAGAAGTCTGTTTTTCCAGAATGCATCCTGTTCCTTCTAGCAAGGGTGGCCCCTAACTGCGTCTTTGCTGGTGTGCTGAAAAGACATGCCCACATTACTGTTTGGTTCAGCTGGAAGATTTTAATGTTTTATGATGCAGTGATTATCTGTAAATACCACTGTAGAAGCACCCTTAGGATGTCTCTATCTAGGTCAGATCAGGAGTGTACCTTTTGTAGTGGATCATCCATCTCTGCTGGACTTTTGCTCAACTCATGAAGGGGTCTTAGGATATACAAGTTTGGTTCTTACAGTATGAAATGAAACTGCAAAATGCACTCTGGGGGAGTATGTAATGCAGGCCCAGTGTTACTGGTGTTTGTCTTGTCAGGCTGGTGTAGAGATGGTCCAAAATACCTACCCCCAAAATAAAGGTCACTCATTGTGGTTGTTGGGTCATCAGTGCTGTCCAGTCTCCAGAATTGGCGGTTACTGTGATGCACTATTTAATAATCTAAATGTAGCCCAAACCACGTTTTTGGAGATAGAAATAGCAAAAGAGTTCTGACTCTATTACTAGGCAACGAGCTTCATTCCTCCACATAGCCAAAAAAGCCACTTTCTAAGGTCACTTTTTTGGTGGGGACAGTTAACTATTGTAATGCTGGAAATTAGAGTTAGTAATTGTGCACTGAGCTTTCCAGTGTGCATTAAAAGTATTTAGGGCAGAGTGGATGAAAATTCTAACCAAAAAACTTAGCCTTATGCATTTCTGATCCTCAGAAACACCCAGGTACTCCTGGGTGTTACTGTATACCTGTCTGTTCCCTTCTTGATGACATGTATAAAACGTGTCTTTTTGAAAAATCTGATTCCAAAGTCTCCTTCCAAACCAAGCAGTTCATCTTGGAAGAAATCCTAGACACTGGGATGAAAGCATTGGTCTGTATAAGCATTCTGCCCTTCTGGCACCTTTTCACCACCACTGAGGTGCAGTGGCTGTTTTGTAGTAAGTGCTTACATCTGGCTGTTTGCTGTAAGAAGGTTAGGCTGGAGGTGTCCCTCTTTGAACATGTGAAATTTCTTACACATAGAATGATTTGGATTGAAAAGGACCTTAAGAACATCTAGTTCCATCCTCCCCTGGCAGGGACACCTCACACTAGACCATGTCACGCAAGGCTCTGTCCAGTCTGACTTTGAACACTGCCAGGGATGGAGCATTCACAACTTCTCTGGGCAACCCATTCCAGTGCCTCACCACCCTCACAGTAGAGAACTTTTTCCTTATATCCAATCTAAGCTTCCCCTGTTTTAGTTTAAACCCATTTCCCCTTATCGCTACATAGCTGGGCCCTGCTAGCTGAAATGAAATGGGGATTCAAATTATACAGCTGTTGAGGATGAACAGTCCTGTCATAAACACTAAGCTGCTGGCTGCACAGTTCCCTACCAGAGGGTTTATATCTTCATTTCTTCTTCCCTCCCGGTAATGAGTATGTTCATTCACCTGCTGTGCATTTACATGGACATAAGAACAGTACTGAGGTAAAATGTACAAATATACAGTGCCCATAAATCTGGAACTCTTTGAGTGTTTCTCACATTTCAGCATAACATAGCGCTCTTGCAAAGCAGAAATTGATGATGTACAAACAAGTTTTAATGTTCATACTTAACATCCTAATTTGTCAAGCTGATACAAGTATGGAAGTACAACAGGAACATTACTTTGCAATGCTGACTATACAAAAGAGTGTATAAAACAAACCTGAAAGTATTTTTATAATAATATATTATAGCCTGCTATAAACATGCTATTCTCGAAGTCATACCACATGCTGCACAGCTTAAAATAAGAGTAACAAAAACCTATTAAAAACTTGGAAAATGACATTATTATATACAGAAATTATTTTAAACAGCTGATGAAGCAAATGTATACATCTGCAGAAATCCCTTAGAGAAGCAAGATCTTTTTTTCAGCTGGAGTGATATTGACAGGATGTATCAGCAACCAAACTGCATATTGAATCTAGCAGTGGAGTGGTATAGTCTCCTGGTTAAAAAGTCTATCCATGTAAGAGTATGCACAATTTTCCTATTGCTTCTTTTTTCACAATGGCTGTTACAAAACCACACTTTTCTGAAATCCATGCCTATAACTCCATAGCAATTACCTGTAAGAGTGCAGTTGTTCCTAATTATTTGGAAATTACTTTTCTGTTTTTCCTAAACCATGTATTGGATCATCATTCCCTGAAAGAAAACAGGAGCAGCTTTTCTAGCAATTCTGAGAAGTGTGCTTTAAAAGGAAAAATATTTAGTAAACCATTCTTGATGCTGAGAGTCTTCTTTCTGGTCATCTTTGGTTTGTGGTAGCTCACTGCCATGTGCCCTGTGCAAACAAATAAGCATTAGCATCACTTACTTACAGTCTTACCAATATCTAATATTTTTTTCCTGCAAAAACTCAGGATGCTATGAATGGAACTGTGCTCACATGAAACATATGAGGCCAAAAGGTGCCAGCTACAATTTCTAGTGGGATCTCTCCTAGCCAAGTAACTGGGCTAACATCACTGGTAGTAATACAAAGGAAAACGTGCAGCACAGCCGAACAGCTATGGAGAAATGTTTGAACATAATTCTTGAAAGCTCAAAAAAATGAAAAAAAAAAGGATGCTTTAAGAATAGGAAGTTTTGAAATTAAGAAGCTGGCAGCTGCAATTCACTCTCAGAAATATGAAATACAACTTCTGCATTGAAAATATTGGGCAGAAGTTTTATTTGTAACTGAAAGATTGAGTATTAGTTGGCCTTGATAATCCTATTCCATAGTCTCATTTTTCAGCATTCAGGATTCTTTTTTAACATTTATATTAATTTTGCTTAGCTTATAGTAACAAATATGACTTCACTTATGATGGATTCATTAAGAGTAAGGAAGTAACCTCCCTGTATGCTTCCCTTTAACATACAAATCTGATTTGCCTTGGCAGTCATCTGGCATTACACAGAATGCTTTTATCATTAAGATGTAGGAATTGCCAAACTGGATCCAAGCCCATGTCCCAGGTTATTGTCCTTGGCAGCAGTCAGCACCATCTGCCTTCAAGGAAAGGACTCTCTAGCACACAATTTACAGAATAACTATCTCCACTAACAGAGAGGTAGGAAAGCTGGCTCTGTCCTGAAGTGTAGCGGTAGGGTTCCCTGTAGTGTTAACCACATATATTTTTAACTATTTCTTGAAGAGATAGTTTTGTTTATAAAACACTGAACATTGTTTAAATAATATCTCATAAATTTGAAGAAAAATTCAAGCTTTTCAGAGAAAACCCATCAAACTAAGAAGCTTTTAGTTAAGTATCTGCTAATACATTTTTAAATCTCTAAACCCTTTGCCAAATTATTAGCCTAGATTCATTTAAATATCTCCTAAAATAAAAATATGCCATCTACATCTGCCAAGTGTAAAAGCAAGGAAACAAAAATAAGAAGGAAAACACATCCTTAACAGAACCACTGATATGTGCCTGAAAATTTTAAACAGCCATGCTCACTATTAGCTATATTCTTGGTTAAATACATGCAGCTGCTTTCTTTTTCTGTACTAGAAGTGTTTGCAAGCATAAGCTTTGCTGGGCAGTGATTATAACCTACGTCTGCAGTGAAGTTCTGGGTCTGTCTGCAGAGAATTGAACACATGGAGGTCACTGCATGATGGGAACCTTAGATCATTGTTATTTCCAAATGTCTAATGTGTTTGAATTGCCTATAAGATTCTGAATACATGATATTCGTCATCTTACAAGTCACTGCAAAATGGACAAATACCTTGTGGCAGCACTGCTGTCTGAGGACTGTGCTGATGGAAAGCCCACCCTGAGGCAGCCAGGACTCCGGTCTAAGCTTGTAGATTTTGTTATTTGAGGAGCACTTCTTTTTGATCTCAAGTCACAGCTCAAAAAGCTCTTTGCGTAGGAAGCTAAATTCGGCACACTGACAACACGACTGGGCGCCTCAATTGTTTTCTTCTTCTGTTTTGTATTGTGACAGAAAGCTTCATTACACACACGTCTTTTTACACTTTATACTATAAAACCTCAACAATACCTCATTCCCACATTCCTTGAGAGGAGCACCCAAAAATGAATATTCCCGTCTTTTTCTGAAGGTATTTAAAATAAATTCTGAGGGCATGCTGTGAGGGTCCACAGATTAAGTAATCTAATGAAAACTTGTGTATTTGATGGTTTAGGTAGCTTTGCAGAGCTCATTTAGGTGTTTTCCACCAACTTGACCTACCTTCTTGCCATGACTACTTATAGATGGTCTCATACAGAAGGACTGGAATGACAAAGGGCAAATCCTGGGCAGCCAAAACACAATTAATAATTTTCCTTGATGCATGCAATATCCAAAATAGCAACTCCCAAAGCTGCAAGCAATGGCTGTGCTTATCCCAGCAGAAGACTGATGGCCTTGGAGTTCTAGTGTTTTATATCTGCTTAAAGACTTTGTGCATATATACTCCTGAATTTATGTTATGCTCAGAAATTGACTGTAGGCTGGCTTACTGGACTTCTACTGAATAACAGTATTATAAAAAAATTCATAGGACCTTTATTATCCTGATTATTGTGTAACAATAAAATATCATGATTTGCAATTTTAATTGCATTGCCCATCTTACCTTCATGGAAGGAGTTGAGCATCCTCTATTAGGGTTGAAAGAAAATGATCGATTCCTGTAAGATTCATTGTTGGCTAAATGTGAATGCTGACATTTTCTTCCTTCCTGAGAGGAGAGAAAGTTATATGTATGGAAACATCCTTTTGTTGGAAGTTGGTATGGAAACATGTATTTGTCAAAGTATTCCAGAACAGAAAGTATGAGTCTGAAGCAATGTGTGAAACACTGAACAGAACCTTCCAACAGATTGCAAAATATGTATGTACATATAAAAGGAATTCTTACTGCCAACTGCTTGATAATCTCTTCTTTCTCACTTAATTTGTCTTGCAGACAGCTTATAAGGTGTGCATCTTCTGATCTGGACTCCCACTTTCTTGACTTTTCTTCTAATTCTTTAAGTCTGTACCAAAGAAAATGCAGGCCAGAAAAAACTTCCTCAGACCAGGTTCAAGAGATACCCGGGCTGTACTCTGCTCTAAAGTTCAAGCCTAAAACACAGGGACATAGTTAGGCCTTTCTGATAAAACAGCACTACTAAAAAAATGGGTACCTGTACATGGATTATATTTAAGTATAGAATGTTGTGGAGCTCCAAAATAAACTGCCACCAGAATTAACCCACAACACCTGTGAGGGCTTGAAGTCCAGACCCTGGTATAAAATACTAACAAGCTTGCACATTCTATTGATGATCTAGTTTCCTAAAGAAACAAATCTGTGCAGCAGTATCTATGCCTGTCTGTATTCATCTGTCCTCTTTTCTGACCCAATAACTTTAGAATCCACAGGCTAATTCCAACCATATTTGATAAAGGCTTCATAAATACTCAATTCCTATAACTTCACTAAAAGAGAGGCTTAGATATACATGCTGCGTTAATGAACTCTCTAAGCCAAAACCTGTAGTGAGTTCAGCTCTATAAATGCCTTCATCAGGGGAAAAGAATCAAGCCAGAACTTACGCCTTCTTAGACATAGTGTAGAAACACATTTGATGGACCCATGGGAAAACAAGTCACTATTTCATCAGCCAAGTTCATGAAATTCACCTGCCGTACTGTAGTGTATTACAGAATACAGACAACCATTTAGTGGTGGTGGTTTTTTTTTGAAGATGAGTATTTTTGAGATGTCTTATACTCTTAGTTAATGTCTTACACTCTTTAGTTAGTGTATCTCAGAGTTCAGATAAAAAGATAAATCACCTCTAAATGTTTTGCAAACTGCTTAAATGCACAGGTCTCTCTTCTGGACTTATGCCGTACAGTTGTGATAAGAGAAAAGTACAAGGGATAGGTATATAATTAATATATGTATTATAATAACAGGGATTATTTCTGAGTGGCCTCTCCAGTACAGTCTGAAGCACCACAGGACTACTTAACTTCATAGGGGGTTGCAAAGTGCATTTATTTACATGAGCTTTTGGGGGCTGTCCTGGGAAATTTGCAGGGCAGTAAGAATGAGCAAGAGCTTAACTACACGGACGTTGCTCTGATGAACAAAATTAAGTACAAAGGTCATGGATCAAGGCCTCTGGTATCATCTGTGACAAAGATGATGTTATACTTCATGAAATTGCAAGATTCTAAGTGCAGGCTTTAATTTAGCACTCTAAAACTTTATGTATACTGCTTTATATTAAACAATATCCAGAGTTTATCACAATATATTTGGGTCTTTTTGTGCTCGCAAAGGAAATATGCATACACTTCTATTTCATTGCTTATAATATTCTACCTATGAGTAATAACAAAAATACACATTCTGAGTATAATAATTTCAAACAGAACTCTTTACCAGTATGAGCCAGAGTTTATTTAAATGACTTACTCAGTTTCTAAGGAGAAAATCTTTGCTTGGAGATGTGCCTGAGCCCTGCTGAAATCAGATAATATGCTTTCAATTTCCTTCCGGTGATCTTGTTTCAGTATGTCCAGCTCTTTTTTATGCTTGATATTGAGGTCTTCTACAAGTAGCCTTTTATTGGTATTAAAATATGTCTGAATTCTCACATTTCAATACCAGTTTATTATCATTGACCAAAGCATGCAGTTTTGAGGTCTTTTATTGACTACAGAGGGTAGTTAGCTGGGTGCAGCTCTGGGCTTCAGCTTACTGATTTGACCTTGACGCTTCAGCTGCAATCTGAAGCAGAACCACACTAACACTGAGGAAGAGGAAATTTATTTGGAGAAGTATTTGACCTTCAGGCTTCAGGAAATTGAGGGTCTATTCTATACAATGATGCTACTGATATTCTCTTTATGGTTCATTTGTATACCAGTCTTACTGGTCAAACATGACAGTGAAGTACCATAGGCACTCACTTGTATTAAGCAAAATTATTTTGAAACCTCTGGGATTTTAACCTGAAGCTCTGATGCTGTGTTTCATCACATTGTGGCACCAGAAACATTTAATACTGCCCACCACCGTCCTAAAAATATTATATATTTTTAAAGTAAAGGTAAGGAATGTTCTAACAATATATTTTGAAAGATACTGCTTATTTAACTAACATCATCAACTGAAAATTAAAAAATACCTCACACTTCTTAAACCTAGCTATAACATTGCTTTCTCCTACTGACCCTAAAATCAATATTAAAAGGTTATTTTTAATGTAATGCCTTTTCTTTGTTAATGTTTTGTTAAACCTTGGAGAAACTTTTTCATTGTCTCAATGAAAAGCCCATGTTCTGTTACTTACTGATTAAAACAGAGATGTCAGACTCAGCAGGTTAACTACTGTATTTTTCAGAAAAGATATTCAGTTTATGTTTTTAGTTTTTCATGTATTTCTAAGCCCCTTTCATGCTTCAGGAAAGGCCAAAAGGCCCATGAACAGTTTCTGCTTTTGAAATTAGGGCACAGCCATCAAAGTGATTGATTTAGAACTTGGCATAAAATAAGAAGCAGAAGAGTAAGAATAAATGGGAGCAGAATCCTTGAAATACATCTTCAGGAGCAGAATAAAAGCTCTGCTTCAGACTAGCCATTCTGGGACTTGTCCTCTTTTCCCATAAAAAAACCTTTTGTCTGCTCACTTAATAATTCTTGTAAAAGGTTTCCGTACTGGAGGTGAAAGTCACACAGTTCAAGAGAATGGAAATGGGAAGGACTACTTCATCAGATTACTGGTTTCACTTACTCAGGAACTGTAGGAATAGTAATTTTAAATAACTGGCTCTAAAAAGTTGGCACATGCCAATAACAAGCCACTCTCAGATTTCAGATCAGAAGTAATTAGCATGAGACAAGGTCACTGTTGGTTAAAGTAACAGTAAAAAGGCTGTAATTTATATGCACTCACCAATTTAACTATTCCCCTACAAAAATTATTGGTCCTGCAAAAGCAAAACAAGAGCTGCAAGTTAATACTATAGGTCTTCCATGGGTTAATTTTAGCCTGCATCAGATGCCTAGGCCCATTCCAGCTCTTGGGTTCTGCCGCCTGTTATTTGAAGGATTTCAATTTATATAATTTCCATTAATGCTTTCTTCTCAAATGCTTACCGTAGTAGAGCTACACCATTTATCCCCTGTTAAGATTATCCTCTAGCCCAGAAGCTTTAGCATTTGAGGCCTTTTAGACCTCATTGCTGACATGTGAATAATTCTTCTCTTCATGAACAGAAGCTCTAAATTCCTTTAAGGTAGCTGGAGAGCACTGATGAAACTCTCTGGTTTGCAATCCTTTCTGTTGATCTTGCTTCAAAAGCTTGAAATGAAAGTCACTTTCAAGTAACTCTCCAAAGAGTGCAAAGGAAAAAAAATCCTTTCTCATGTCTTTCTCATTCTTTAAATATCTGCTGACTGGTAGACAGCAATGGAATTACTCTGACCACTCTGACAGTCTGCCAAGAGACACTCAATCCCTTGAGTGCTTTTCTTTCCACTATACAGGACATCATTTTAAAGATTCCTTTAGGGGTATACTCTTCAGAAATACTTTTACATATACAGCTTGAGTAGCTAGTGGCATACATTCTACACCACTGCAGAAATGAATTAAAAGATAGCCATTTACCAGATCCCTTAATCTCTCTGCAAAGAGAATGTGTTAAGTATGATAATAAAGAAATTCCAAAGGATCCAGCAGCCATACAAATGTACTGGACAGTGAACCCAGACTTGTCCTGCATGTAAAAGTCCTGCACTTTTTAAGTAGGGAAGACTGCTATTACTGCACTATGCAACACATGCTCTGAGCCTGTGGCTACATTAGGAGGATGCACTCCACATTCTACAAGACAGTAAAGACTACAAGTCAGCTTCCCCTCCCTGTACCCTGACACCATATTACAGCTTCAGGCTTTCACAAGTCCAGAGGTACTGTCAGAGTCTGTTATCTCTGCCCTTACTCCCCCAAAGCTAAGTCTTACAGACTACAGATGGCATTCTCAAGTGTCCCCTCTAGAGTTAACTACCCATTGGTTTCAGCTACAGAGTGTACATATAAAAAATTGATCTTGATTCTCAGAGACTGATATAATTTTTTATTAGCTCTTGGGTGAATTTGGGATCTGTTTATGTCTTCCAGTGCCTTTCAATGGCTGACGTTACACAGATTTTTCCCGGGTCACACTTGTGGGCTACAGTGGATGTATTTCTCTGTGATACCTAATGAGAAATTAGTTCCAATGCTTTTATTATGGCTGGAGAGAAGTGTGAAATGAATTACTGCTTTTACAAAATTCCTAACCTCTATAATTAGCACTTTAGAAAGGATTCTGACACATCACATTTAGAACACCTCTGATACTGGCATCATTATTAGCATCATTACTGGCATCATATATATCTAGATAGCACTGTGAAGTGTGAGTTTAAGGCAAACCTTCTGGGCTGTTTCTCACTATCCTGGAGATGTACAGCTTCTTCCTTCTGGGACTTCAACTCAGGACTGAGTAGCTCCATTGTGTCCTTCAAAAGTAAATTTTCTTTCTTGAGTTCAGAAATTTCACTCTGACATTTTTCCAGTTCCTCATGGAAAGATCTGATCTGGCTCTGGCTACTTCCTTCCTAAGAAAAAGGCCAAATTTAGTTATTCACAGCCTCTTATTATTTAAGGTGAGGGTCTCGCTGGAATTGTGTGCACTGAATTTTTGTGAACTGAGTTTTCAATCCTATGTACAAGACAAAATATGTGATCAAAACTTCTTGAACATACTTTACTAAATATAAAATTTTACTGTAACATTATATGTAACATTTACTTGTGTTGTAGATTCTGATCTTTAAATTGGAAAAAAGCCTGGCTGTAGGGAAAAGCTGGTAAACAATTTTGAAGTGGGACATAAGGGAAGGAAAACCATTCAATTTCTGTAAAGACTCTGTACACTTTTATTATCTCTGAAGAGAGAAATTTGATACTACTGCTTTTGCAAAACACAACATGGCAATGAAGTAGGAACTGAATTCTTGCCTGTTGCTTCTTCAGTGTCCTCACACTCCTCAGTTCCATTTGGAGTTCTTCTATTTGTTTCCTGAGGTTAGTGCACAATGTCTGTTGCTCAGAGAGTTCCATCCTTAGAGATCCTAGTAACAATCAGACAACAATCATTCAGGCAGTCAGAGGCCAGCTGGATGGGGAAGGTAGATACAGACAATCTAGATGGAAACATTAATACATTACATTTTGCTTTGTTCCTCAACTCCTTCACCATTAAGTATGATGGCCTTCTATTACTAGAGAGGTCACTCAGGTACGCTATAGTAAGATGATACGGAGCTACCACAGCAATGATTCAACATCAGAATCAGAGGTGATTCTGTGGTAGTTGTTTTACAGACTACATCATTATAACTAACTGGTTTCTTCTGACCTTGAATTTTACTGGAGCACCCTTGAGCTTCCCTGTTAAGTCCACTGGTGCTTTAGAGAAGGCCATACGGCAGACTGAGGAGAGCTCTGGTTGTGTTAAAGAAGTACAATACTTATGTAAGCAGATCTGTCGTATACTACAACCTTTGTGTATACCCAGTGCAAGTTGTCTCTCTCCTTACAATTTTTCTTGAAGAACAGAATTTATCTATTGAAACTTCAGAGAGCAACACATCTTTCTAGCAAATTTGAATTACTGGCAACAAAGCTCCAAATAATAAGATAATCAGTTTTTAAAAGTTTAATTAAATAAATTTAAAATCTAATTTAAAATAAATTTAAAAAATTAAAGTTCTTTCAAATTATTCTGTCTTTAATTAAAACCCCCTTTTATACGTGAGCTTTAATAACCTGAGCTTAAACCTGGAGATATTACAGGTACTTCTAGTGCAGTGTTCTGATTAGTTCTGTACAGTTTAGGGAACTTTCTATGCTGACTGAACAATATGTACGGAGCAGCTAATATCCATTGCTGAATTCAACAGAACAGACTTGAAATCTTCACATCATAGAAAAAAGAGTAAAATCATATCCTCTAACTGCAGGATTCCAATTTAATATACCTGATAGTGCATATTTGAAATGTTGTACACCAGACTACTCTCCCAGCAACATCCTGTTGCTGACAGTTGAGAGCCAGGTTAACAAAGACTATTAAGTTTGTATTGCTGAAATTGTAGGGTATGAAAAAGGAGAATCACAAACACCTAAGTTCCCAGAAGATGGGAAAGAAAATGAATGGGAGAAAAGTCAGTGCTTCTCAGCATATAATCAAACAGTAAGAGCTGTGCATGACATGAGACATTATACCTAGCAACGCAGTTTGCTGCTTCTGTATCTGCTCGAGTTCATCATGTAATTCCTTCTTTGCCTTCTCTTCCAAGGTTTGTATTTCCAGTCTATGAGACTGATGTTGGCTCTTGAAAGTCTCATTAAATTCCTTTTTCAAACGTTCTTCCGTCTCCTGTAAGCAAAAGCATCCCCAAAACCAAAATATTTGGAGCCTATTTATCATTTTGTTTTACTTGTATTGCCAGGATGAATCTGATCTTTCATTGTAAAACTTTTATTTTTAGCACCACTTTACATGACACTTCTTCAACACAAGCATAAAAATGTGAAGTTTAAAAATCACACTTAATAGGTACAAGAGAAATTATCCACATACTATCTATTAGTTGTTTATCTTTGCACTATTTGACATTAGAAAGATGTTTGATTATTAAACATAGAAAGACTCCTAGATTTGACCTGTATGTCATTATCACAGAATGTCAGGCAAAGGCTTCTATCCTTCCTTGTATGCTTGTTGCCTAGAACTTACTCTGCTGATGGAAGTGCTGCTGATACATTGTAAATGATGGAACAGTTGCTTGGTAGTGGCTCTGAAAGCAAACTCCTATCCTCAGTTTCATTTTTACCAACTTACTGCCTTCAGCTTGGTTTTGTTAAGTTGGTATTTTGTCCTGAATATATAAAGAAGATGTAAGTTCTATTTAAGGTGGTTTTACTACACATGCTTTATACGGAGGTTTTTCCTAAGGTGTGCAATATCAACAGGAACATCTGAACTCTATGTCACAATCACACTAACATTTTTAAAGTTGCCTTTTTTTTCCCTCAAACTGCAGCATTGTTCAGAATCTTAATATATTGCATTAGCATTTTGTCACTGAAATAAATCCAACCGAACCTTTACAAGCGTTGCTTATCCACTTACAGAATTATTTCTTGAAGGTAGGTAAGTCAAGACCCATCATTAGACATATCCATTAATAATGGATGAAAAACAATAAAACTGAGTCCTGTTAATAATACACATAGGAATCCCTCTTATTTCTGAAGCAAGAGCACAGCTACAGGAGTTTGTATTAACTGCAGCCTAACTAGAGAGATTAGGCTATATTATTTTATGAAATTCTTTCATTCACACTGTGATATAAGTTCAAATGTTAAAATTAAAAAACAAAACACCTGAAGAGGATAAGGTTTCAAAATAACAGAATTATTGACTGTGTGCAACAACTGCAACCCATTAGTAAGATAGCTGGGGATAACTGAGTTTTGACAATTGGCTGTAAATAATATGGTTTAGTCCACAAACAAGATTTTATTTGTTTACACTAGTATGTCGCAAACTGACCTTGAGTTCCTGATTTTTGCTTTTCTCCAACATTTTTAAGACTTTCTGATGTGATGCCTCCAGCTGCAGTTTCACATTCTGGTTTTCTTTAATGATATTTTGAAGATCCTGCAAAAGCTTCTCTTTTTCCTTGTTGGACTGTAGACTATGTTTCTTCAGTGACTCCTTGAAGTTACTTGCTTGCTGATCTAATATCTGCTTCAGCTGAGCCACCTTACAGAAAAGGTAAGACAGGATCAATGGATGCATTCACAATGGAGAGAAATGATGTAAATTCCAGTGCATTTTATGTACCCTATGTTTATAAAATGTGTTGCTATCTGTTCTTATCTGTTGCTCTATGAAAAAATAGTAAGATGCTTGTTTCCTGCAAAGAGAACTTCTATCAGTGAAGACTGAAATCTCTCTTGCACGTACTGCCTCTTGCTCATTAAATATTTTTCTTAAATTTTTTCTTTTCAGATCATCTCCATCTCATCTATACAATCCATAGCTCAACTTGCACAGTACATATGGCATAAAACAGGAGGCAGGCCTACGGCTGTGCTCATTGTCAAACTGGAGATGCAACACTGCAGAAGCCATTTATATAAAGCAGTAGATTAGAACCAATGGAAACAAAGAGTTCTGCACATCGTGCTTCAGACTTGATTTATTTTCTCCCCTCTCTTAGCTTAAATACTAAATACAGTAGACACGTCTATAATGGCTGACCCAAAAATAGCAAAAAATACCTGATTATTAAAATACCTTTGTTTTGGTGGGGTCTTCTCTTTTCAATTTGGTAGACTCTCTCAACTTCCAGCAAAAAAATATATTTGCCCTTCTTCTTAAATTTGCCATTCCAAAGATCATAGCTGCAAAACTCTGAACAACTGCCTTCTGCACAAAAGGCGCATTCATGCTGTAGGGCCAATGAGTGTTTTAGCTGCAGTATCTGACTTCCAAGTCACATTTTTTGCTCTGCCATGCCTCCTGCAAAATCTTTATGTCTCTTGACTTTTCTTTTGGGGAATATGTGAAAGAGGATGGTCTGTTTCCCATTTTTTATATACTTGTACTTTTCAGCCTTAGAGGAATTATGAAAGGAAGAAGTTTGTATCCTTAATTTCATGTGACTTTAAGTGATTCAAATGACGTTACACACATCTGCAAATTGAATACGATACAGATTATGACCTGTGACTATATCTTATTCTTACCTCTACAGTAATACATGTTCTTTTTCTGTTCAGTGTTGCCCTAATATTTTTTTTCCATGCATGCTGTACACAGACTATTAGCTGAGGAAGCACTGTAGCTTTAGCTATCTAAACACTTGCTTGTAACTTCAGCTGCACACATAATACCTTTTTGATGCAGCACCACAAAAGCGGAAGATTTACTAAGTAGGTTGTCTATATCCTTTCACATTTCATTCTCATAGCACCATACTTCGTGTGATGTAAAAGGAAAGGAGGCATGATGTGCAAAGCCCTTCTCATTAACTTCATGGCCACAGCTAGCATTGCAGTGTCGAAAGGGAAATAATAATGAGCTATACCAGATCTCTCCAAAACCTAGGAATCCTTTCGGATATTGGCTAAATGTACTCCAGCTAGCTCTTCCTCACACTGGTTAAGCATGCCGACTCCTCTCCTCCAAAGGATGCATCTTTTCCTTCTCCTGAGGCCCTTCTCCAATTTCCAGATGGATCACAGCCTTTATTCAAGTACTCTCTAAGCCCCTACTATTCTCATAGGTTCCCAGCACAGAACTGTGCTCTGTAGGCTCCAAATCCTGCAATCCACAGAGGTTGTGTCAGTTCCCAGAGTTCCAAATCCTTTCAGACAAAGGACATTGTTTACTTCTGCTTTATAACCGCAACCTTCAACTACATTGTACCTCAACTTGTCTTCACTTCTAGTCCCAATTTCCACTTTTACCATTTCTTGGCATCTGCTCCCTTCTCTCTAGAATTCATACAAGCCTTTATGCCCCAGTAATAAATCTTGATATTAAAGAAGAAAAATTAATATGAACCTTTTCTTGGAGACACATCTAAGAAATAAATATTTCTACTTGATCAATTTATCCTATTTTAATTTTTTTCTATAGAGAAACTAAATAAGGGCCTGAAAACATTGTAAAAACTTGTTCTATATCTTAGTTGTCCATAATTTTGGGTAAAAGGTTTGTCTTCACAGAATATCAGATGAAGATGATTTGTTTCTGTTTAAGCACTATTTGTGTGAAACATGAATGCTCATGAACTTCCTGCGCTGCGGAGATTACTCCAAAACTGTTACTTGAACACACAGGTATAATGAGAACTAGATAACCCCTTTCTAAATCTGTTTTCTGTACCTCTGTAAGCAGCTAGAAAGAAAGCTACAAGAAAGCTACTTTTCCATTTTTAAGTAGGTTTATGGCTACAGAATTGCTGTTCCTATACACAAGTCAATATACTGTGTTCTTTCCTTTTAAATAGTTTGTCCTTCAAATCCACAAGTCAGGTTCCTTTTCTCCAGTCACTTGCTGGTGGTCATCATTCATCTTGTACTTCAGTTTCCCTCTGATGCCCTTCCAACGGTTTGCTCACAAAGGGCCATACTACCATTATAATTAACAAGGATTTCCTTTATCAAATGGGCTAGTGTGCTGTGCTTGAACTTCAAAGTTCCTCAGTTTTATCACAGATGTTTCACATCTTAGATCTACAGCAGTATTTGTAATTTAGACATGACAGAAATCTGCAAGCAGAGATGAACACTGATAAAAAACAATTCAGTAAAGCTACCAGCTTGTGCAATTGACTTCCTCCTGTTCGGTGGCCAAACTGAGCAATTGATCAAACTTCTAGTCAAATAATCCAAAGGAAACAGTTTTGAATGCACACATCAAAATAAAAAAAAAGAGTAAATACTTCCTCCATACTGAATTCAACGTCTTTAAAACTTAAATTACTTAATCATTTGCAAGGAGACAAATGGGTTTATTCACAGCCCACAGGGGAAGAAGAGATGGCAGCAGCAGTTCTGCTTTGTGTGTGACAGAGAGAGAAAGGAAGCATGGAGGCACAGACAAACCAAGAAAGCAAGAGTACATGTGTGTGCATACGAAGGTAACCAGGACATTTATTCAAGTGATGAAAGCCTAGGTTGTCCAATTGTCCTGGGTTCAGCAGTAGCAGTCATGTTTTTTCCTTTGTGTTAACTGGTGCAGTGCTGTGTTTTGACTTCTAGTTTGAGAACAGCGTTGGTGAAGCCGATGTTTTCGGTTGTTGCTAAGTGATGTTTACCCTGACCAAGGACTTTGTGAGGCTCATGCTCTGCCAGGGAGGAGGGGAAGCTGTGAGGAAGCAGAGACGGGGCGCCTGACCCGGGCTAGCCGGGGAGGTATTCCATACCACAGCACGTCATGCCCGGGGTGGGGGGTAACTGGGAGTTACCCGGAAGGACAGGGGCTTCCGGGTGGAACTCGCTTTCTTGGCCGGTGGTATCGTATTCTCTTCCCTTGTTATTTTCCCTTATCATTGTTTTAGCTGATAGTAGCGGTGGTGATTTGTTGCTGGACTGTTCTTGTCTCAACCCGTAGGAGTTGCACTCTCTCGATCCTCCTCCCCGTTCCTCCGGGAGCGGGGAAGGGGAGAGCCCCGGTGCGGGGGGGGGAGACGGACACAGACCTCGATTGTTGTCAGCTCGGCACCACTGGAAGTGAGCGAACGAGTTACCTGACAGGGTTTAAACCACGACAGTTCTTTTTGGCGCCCAACGTGGGGCACGAGGTGTTGAGATAAGAACAGATCTGACTGGATTGATAGTCACTCGTCACAATGCTGATTTATTGGCTCTCAAGGCTTTTCCTCTTGATCTCACAGTTTCAGTATATCGTATCTTACGTCCATCCGGTATTTGCTGTATTCGTGTTTTTCAAGTGTGGGGCTTGGGCTAAGGTTTTTATCCCATTGTACTTTATGGTAATGACTTGTAATACAATAGAATCATTGATCATGAAACTGATCTGGCTTATGTTCCCAGTGTGGTCACCACCTTTATATTTTGGGAGGTATATGATGGAGGTGCTTAGCAATTACACATCTTTTTTCTCCTTCTCAGGTGCTCAACCTGTGAAGGAGACATCCTTTTACCCTCCTAGTCGTCCCCCCAGACCATTTACATTTGAGAGTTTTGAATTTTTTGAATGGCCTTTTAATGCTGTTGAGACTTGTTTGCTGATGGTGATGGGAATCACCATGCTAACACGCATACAGAGTGTGTTTTGCCCACTACTGATTTCAAGAGTTAAGCAGATTCAGGTTTGGGTCTTGTCTGGGGTCAAACGACGATGTAGGAGGACCGAGAGATTTTCCCTGAGGCTGGACAGCCATGAGTGGCAGGGTGTGTGGGATAGTATGGGCAAGTATCTAGGTCAGTGGGCCCCTCCAGTATTTTGGAATTTCACTACCGAACAACTGCAAAATCCAGAAGAATTAGTAAAACACTTAAATGAGGTGTGTGGTCATTCTGGCCATACCAGAGATGGACAAATCACGGCAACGTGCTGGGGCTTGGCCTATACTTACAGGGCCTTGTTCAACACTATCCAGCACCTTCAAAAGGAAAAGAATGTCGGCGGATTTGAGGGCAAAGTGACAGTCGCTACTCAAACTTTGGCCTCAATGAACAGAGCAGCTACCCCAGTGGCAAGTACAGCAGCTGCTCAAACTTCAACTGCAACAGACAGCGTGGTTACCCCAGCTCCAAGCACAGTAGCTACACCACCCCCAGCAACAAGTACAGTCGCTACTCAAACCACAGTGATAATCACTGCAGCCAAACCAGAGGACCAATTCGAACCAATATTGGTTGCCCCTGTACGCAAAAGAACAAGCAAAAAGGAGGCAAAAAGGGTGAAGCGAGATGAAGAACCAATGAATTCACCACCCGGTCCAGAATCTGATCAGGAGTCATCATCACATGACGAAGAAGAAGAAGAAGAGGTAACTTCTCGACCTCGGACCTCAACCGAGCTGCGGAATATGCGAAAAGATTTTACCCGTCAACCAGGGGAGCACATCATCACCTGGTTACTCCGATGCTGGGACAATGGGGACGATGGTCACGAACTAGAAGGTACAGAAGCCAAGCAGCTGGGATCACTTGCTAGAGAAGGGGGAAATGACAAAGCAATTGCAAGAGAGAAAAAGTCCCTCAGCCTTTGGAGGCGGCTCT